CTGGATCCTAGTTGGGATCCTGGAGCCAGGAGATTTCTTAAGGTGCCCATATACCTTACGATTATCGGACAAAACTTTTTGTTCGATGATCGAACCGTCGTACGATTTTCGTACGACGGCCCCATCCTGCCCCGATTATCGCAAGGTTCATTCAGCGGTAGTTAAAAAAAACACCTGGACGACTTGCCGTAATTGACCGCAATTATTTTCGTTTGCGCAGTGTTAATCGTACGACTTTTGACGGATGGAAACACCACCAACCATGCGAACATCGTACGATCGACCAAAGTTTTCAAACATGCTTGATCGTCAAAAGTCGTACGATTGTACAGTACTATCGGTCGGGCACTCTATTCACACGTTACGATTGTCGTACGAAAAGTCGATCGCATACCATTATCGTACGATAATTGTAAGGTGTATGGGCACCTTTAGAGCTCTGGGTGGGACGAAATCTCCATTCCATGGGTCCATGCCTTAATAGTGATTATGCACCTGTGTACATCCCTCATGAAGAGGGTGCTGGGATTTGTTCAGGGCCCCACCTGGGAGACAGGAGATTGCCACCTGGGAGTCAGTGTGGAGGCCAGCGCAGCAGGGAGCTGCAGGATAGCACAGTATTGAGGTGGTCTGGAAGAACCAGACCGTGGGCCTGCGGATTGAGGCCGGAGCAGCAGTGCTGCAATAGAGAACTATTGAAAAACTGGGACACCGTGAGTGTGTGAGACGACTTGTATGAGTGGGTGAGCCAATATATGTATATTCTGCTGAAGACAAGCTTTCTTTATGTTGGGCGTCCTGATTACCTGCTGTTAAAAGAAAAATAAAGACTTTTTGTTGATGGATAAACGCTGTGCGAGTGCTCTGTGAGTTCCCCAACATCACAATACATGTATATATTTATTTCTTACCTATTGCTCATTTTACTAGTTTTGTTGTTTACCTCTACGTATTATAGGGGAAAAGATTTGGATATTAAAAACCCCCCATTTAATCACAGATAGTACTTATTTCAAATATTTAAGAAAAAACTATACTGTGGCAAATAAAAACATATATTTGAAACTATAATAACTAATTAACTTTTACACAGTAGGTGACACTCGTCAGAGATTACCTCCATATCTCCAATATCATTATCTAAGGAATATATTGAATTAGCTTATAGATTGCAGCCACACCTTTGCCCTGCAATCATCTAAATTAGCTCAGCCCTTCACACTGCGCTTAAACCCACCGCCGTTCACATACTGTAATTGGACAAACTCATTAGCTTCAACAGATGATCATGAATTATTGATCCTGACAACAGCACAATTAGGGGAACAGTCACCAGAATAACAGCTAGTTAAAGATCTACTCGATGAACACACGGCTGTCAAAGTAGAAATAATGAAATTAGAGAGGAAATAAAGTGGAGGGCCCACAGAGGACAACCCTTGATCTATGGTTAATCAGTATTATTGCGGTGTCTGGTGAGATACCACTTTTATCTTAATTACCAATTATTGTTTTGTCATGGAGTTTCATTTGAATAATGGTTTCAAAAGTTGGCAACAAAACACAATTATTTGTTTTTTTTTTTAATCTTGTGTTATTTGGTTTTGCCTTGCTTTTATCAGCTTCTAATATGACACTAATAAAGTGGACGATTAAATTAATTAAAGGTCTTTACTGTTCTAAAGTGTTCTGATGTATCATTGTATAATGTGAGAGCACTGTGAAGACTTGAATGAGCTAATGTGAAAATATCCTTCCCATTGATTCCTAGTGATGGCGGGTAATGAGCAAGTGATAACTATCTCTTAAAGCTGAACTTTGGGAGGATAAAAAAGACGCAGATTCAAGTGACTCCGTATTCATCAATACATCGTTAAAGAAGAACTTTAGGAATGTAAAAAACTTACCCTTGCACGGGCTACCCCTGCACTGCAAGGGTTAAGTGCTCATTTTATCTAGGCTAAAATAAAGAAGATATACTCACCTGATCCTTGGTCCCAGAAGGCTGCTAGACTGGTCGCCACAGCCTGTTCTCCCCAGGCAACTTTATCAGACGCTCCCATTAAAGTCTATGAAGCCAAAATAATTGAATCTGCCTGAAAAGTAGCTCATGTACAATTTTGAACTGCATGTATTTTGCTACCAGTGACAAAACGCTCAGATGTGAACAGAGGCCATTGAAAACAATGGGATTGATATTGTTGAGTGTTATAGCGCTTAGGCATCTCAACTGAGAATGGGGCCTTAGTTAACTGCAGCAGACAACAGCTGTGCAATTCTTGGACTGGATGGACAAAAATACCAGTCTTTTGGCAGCTAAAACAGCCCCCATATAGAGATTTTATCTGTGCTTTTAGCTGTTTGCCTGGAGTTTAGAATTAGGGCTGTGCTACACAGTATACATACCAACATGCTAAAAAAAATTCCAGCTTTACTTATAAATTTGTGTATTCAAAACTACAAAAGGCAGAAAAACAACAACTTTAATTTGGTTTTATACATAATTTCTTTCTTTGTTATGAACAAAACTATAAATATATCTATATCTATATAGATATATAGATATATATATTCTAGTCATGTAAATATGAAATAATGCAAATTGACATATATTTACCACTTGCAGCCATCAGGAGGCGCTAGATGCAAGAACAGGAGTTCTATGACGGCTCAGACAGCAGCTATTTAAAATCGTGGTCATTTGTCAGCGGGGTGCCCAAGCTGTTTGAGGGCTGCAAACGAAACAAGTTGGGGATGGTTTTCGGGGCTTGGGCCCGCATATGCCTACCAATCTTTCCCATATTGAGTTGGTTAATAGGCTAATCCCCTGCTTGGACCCTGGAGCTCTTTCAATGTGCATCTACCCTGAAAAAAACTGTTGCAGTTACTGCAAAAAAAAGTGTTATCCAGAGATCGGATTGAATTGGATAGTCAAGTCCATCAAAATTGTCTATCCATCTAACACTACCCTCCTCACAGGGTGACAATGCTGCTATCCCAGCGTGTCTCCATTGCTCCTCCATAGAGTGGAGCCACCCTAAGACAGAAAATGCCTTACTGGCCGGATCACCAGAGGAAAATAAAGGAAAAGCTATAAAAAAAAAAGAAAACTCATGCAGCCACCACATCTAATGACTGGCAAACTGCAATATATGACATGTTTGCTTTTTGGGTTTAGATACAATTTAACTAAATAAAGATCTCAATGACTTAGAGGAGGGGCACACTCCTTTCCCTCTCTCTGGACAGAGATGGTAATGTCTTTACATGTATGTTTTTTTTTAGTAGGGTAGAGAGGGAAGGGCTGGGAACCTGTGTCAAGTTTTTGTCCAAGTTGGGAGGATTTATCACAGATCCTGTCCTAGTACTAGTGATCCCTGTGACAAGATGTGCATTAAAAAGACACCTGAGAGATCAAAGATTCTAACCCCTCCCCACTCTATCCAAAATAAAAATAGTTTTGGAGTTACATCCTAATCTGTTTAGAGTGGCTAACGTGTCATTCTGGGGTTTCTAATTGGACTCCGCTCTGTAATGTCAATGGCCAGCTCAGAGAAACCACGATGGAGCATGGACACCCCTCATATATGCAGTGGCGTAGTGGTTAGCACTTTTGACTTGTAGCCCTCGGAGTTCCGGTTTCAAATCCCAATCAGGACACTATCTGCAAGGAGTTAGCATGTTTTCCCTGTGCTTGTGTGGGTTTCCTCCGGTTACTCCAGTTTCCTCCCACACTCCAAAGACTTGCTGGTATTGGCTCCTTTTGAAATCGGAGCCAATACCTGCCTGTATGTAGGCATGTGAGATAGGGACCTTAGATTGTAAGTTCCTTGAGGTAAGGGACTGATGTATAGAGAACAAGGAAGTGAGAAACATGGGGCTTCTAAGGTGTCCAAATCACACATCATGTCCATCAGACACAAGTAGTTATATTTAAAGAAAGATAAGTTTTATTAAAGTACAATTAAACCTTCTTTTTGTTTGCATATACATTATATTGCCAGAAGTATACTTCTGGCAATATAATGTATATGCAAACAAAAAGAAGGTTTAATTGTACTTTAATAAAACTTATCTTTTGGCAATATAGTGTATCTACAGCTAGCAAGCAGCACTTTTTTTTTTTTTTACTTCTACCGCTCCAAGCTTGCTCCTGTGATGGACTACAATCTCACTACAAACTGGTAGTCCATCACTGGAGCCATCTTTTTTTTATCCGATTAATCGACCTCAATAATGACCTAATTAATCGATTTTGAAAATAATCGTTAGCTGCAGCTCTAAAGGTGCCCCTACACTGCTCGATTCTCGTACGAGAATCGCGGGATTGTACGAGAATCGAGCAGTGTGAACGAAGACGTGCGACCGTTTCTACTGTGCGGTCGCACATCTTTTGTCTAAAGAGCACGCTAGAAAACCAGCCGAAAATCGTACGATTTTCGGCTGGTTTGAACGGTGCTCGGGAGACAAATGCCGAACGGGCCGGTGTGCGCACGCACACACTGCCCGTTCAGCATTGCGGTCATCGGAAGCCCGCCCCTCAGGGGGGCGGGCTTGCATGATCGAGAGTACGATCTGCCTGTCCAAGATGGGCAGATCGTACGTTTTTTAAATCACTTTACAACCATCGCAAGACGAAGGTCTTGCGATGGTTGTACAGTGTATGGCCACCTTAAAGTTATGGGAAATCTGCATAATAACTAAACATGGAAAAAAACTGACAGTGATTTAACCCCTCCTCTACTCTATCCGAAATTTTAAAAAATGGATTTAGCTATACATGAATGATTTTGCACTGCACACTGAACATTCCATCCCAGCACTCCTCAGCCACCACTACAACACCCCCAGTGGCACAAAGCTCTGCTCTCCTCCTTACGGTTTTTTTTTTATCGTTTCAAACAAGCTTTATTAACCATTGACACAATATAGCCGTGTGACAGGTTCTGTCAATGACGTCAGTACGCAGCAAAAAGCAGGTTCGATTGGCGCACGCTGTCACCACTCAGAGGCGCAGCCGACATGCCGGTTGCAGCCAATCGTGACTGTCGATGGAGCCGGGTTGCTGGGGGCGGGACTTCCGTTGTCAAGGCAAATGTCCGGAGCGGCTGCTGTTTTTGTTGCTGAGTGGTGCCCGGTGTGAGCTCCCAGGTAACGAGTCACCTGTCATAGGTCGGAGGGGGGCGGGAAGGAGGCCGGAAACGGGGGAGCCGGTGTCCTGAAGAATGGCAGCTGGCGTGTGTGATACTTTTCGAAATGTCGCCCAGTGTAAACCTTTTCCTTGTCACCTATCACTACTGCTGAGTCATGTGTGACAGAGGAATCCCAGGGAGCCACCATTCCCCTCATCTGCCCTCCCACTGCTCACAGGAAGCAGCCAGGGCTGGTGATGTCATGCAGGTGACGTCACTCGTGCGCCAGCCTTTGTTCTTTGTTGCAGTGCCCCACAATCCAAGTGGACTATTGTGATCTTGCATGATGCCACCCATTACTGTCAACTGATCTCCAGGGCTAGTCCCAGGCTTGGTGGCCCTGTACGTTTTGTTTACAAAATCCTTCATTGTGGTGATGGTTTGAATCACTTGCCAGCCCCTTTTATTCCTTGAAGGTTCAGGGGGACAGATCTCCCAGACTCCCCAGCTCTGATCACCTCTCGCTCTCTTTGTAATGTTATTATGCATAAGTGCAGCTGGAGGAGTGAGTCTTCAGATCTGGCAATAATGGCAGGGAGATCTGGTGACGAGAGACCCTGAGAGAGAAATGTGGCTCATGCAGCTTCCCAGTATTTACTAAGAGCTGAGATATTGGCTTTGTGGGAACCTGATTCACAATCTGTCATTAAAAGAGAACTATGGGGTAAGTGTTTTTTCCCCCATAGTTCTCTTCAGGGTCACAGGAGGACATATACTAACCTCCTCCCATGACCCAAAGCTCAGTATATCGCAAGATATTGCCATGATATACTGTGGGCGCCGCAACCGGGACGGATCCTGACAATGCTGTCAAGATCCACCCAGCTGTGTGAGTGACAGCTGGCTCTGCCTATCTAGAGGCAGTCAGCTGTGCCCGCCCCTCCCTCCTCCTTTCCTCCAGTCAGCGCTGAAGGAGAGGGGAGGGGGGAATCCTTGCGGGGAGGCTGGACTGACAGTCACGGCTCTCTGCAGGGAGATGATCTGGAAGTGAGCGAGGGTCGGTATGTGTTCATTCACTTCCCGATCGATAGACGGTTTAATTGCCACACGCCGGCTATGAGGATGAGTGGAAATCACTCACCTCATAGTTCTCCTTTTTAAAGCTGAACTCCGTGATAAGCAAATATTATTTTCATACAGGAATCCTGTATTCTTCCTTGAATCTTGGTGGGCTTTGTGTATTCCTTCCAGATCTCTGCACACATGAAACTTTCCCTGTAATAAAGACCAGTCATGGCTGCTCTCTCTTCTTGTGCAGGGTGACTGGTCTTGTCTCCGCCCCCTACTGTAGTTATCTGCAGGCAGCCTGTAGTGGGTGGGGCTTGCTGCGCCCCTCGCACAGCTCTGTTGTCTGCACAGGTTATGTACAGCACAGTCATGATGTCACTGATGCATGACAAGGTAATATGGGGCTTTGCACAGGCATGTGGTGCACACCGGGTGGATTTATATCCTTTGTGGCTATTGAGGATTATGTTTACATTGAAGGTTTTGTGTCTGGAGTTCAGCTTTAACGTCACAATAAAATCCCAGCTATGTGAATGCAGTGACTGATGACCTGTGTTGTCTCTCCTTGATATGATGCCTTCTGTGGTGGGCTATACATGGAAGATAATGGCCGGGAGCTTAGCCAGGTCACAGCAGCATGTTATTTGGCGATTTGTAGCTGGTTACAGAACTTCAATGATTGTCTATTCTTCTGCAGATTGTTGTCACCGGCCGCTGTGTTGGGTAATGGCCGCTCTGTAGCTGGCTTCAAAAGCTGCCAAAGGTCAATCAGTCAGTGACTGAGCTACAAATGACTGCACAGACCTTTCCCCGACTGCTAACATCCACCAGAGACACACGGAGAGCCATCCTGTACCTGCTGCAGACCACGGTCACCAAATATCATCCACACAGAACCAAGCACAGGATCTGTGAACAGAGAGACTACAGATCCTATCTGCCACAGTGCCAGAGAGATTTGCAGTCCCAAATAGATTACAAGTACGTTGACCTCACCCCATTTGTAGTCCATTGATTACTTTCCTCCAGCCCCATAACTAAAGGTCTGTACCTGGAGAAATAGTCTGCAGGAGGTAGAGCATTGCACCCGTGATCCATTGTTGTTGCAATTCTTATACCGGCTCCAACGCAAACAAAAATTATACGTTTTTTTTCTTACACCATGTGCATGCGCCTGTTATTTATTTATTTCAGAAGACCACTTGGCACTTTTTTTTTAGCTCAGTCACTTGTGGATTTCTCAGTTTTGGTGACCCCTTTGTATAAAGCAGCTGGACACCAGCCATAAAGGTGGCCATACACTTTACAACCATCGCAAGACCTTAGTCTTGCGATGGTTGTAAAGTAATTAAAAAACCGTACGATCTGCCTATCTTGGACAGGCAGATCGTACTTGCGATCATCGCAAGCCCGCCCCTGGGGGGACGGGCTTCCGATGGCTGCAATGCTGAACGGGCAGTGTGCGCGTGGCACACCGGCCTATTCGGCATTTGTCTCCCGAGCATCATTCAAACCAGCCGAAAATCATAAGATTTTCGTCTGGTTTTCTAGCATGCTCCTTAGACAAAAGACGTGCGACCAGACAGTAGAAGCGGTCGCACGTGGCGTCACGGGAAAACGGGAGGACGCTAGTTTGTGTCCTCCCGTTACCCTAAGGAGAACTATGGGGAAAAACACTGACCCCATAGTTCTCCTTTAAGGCTTAACCATTGACTTTGACGGGTAAAGATTTGAGTCTACCCATCACCGCCCCAATGTTTTCATTGCTGTTTGTGTGTCTGCTGGGAAGATTCATCCTCGTTATTGGTCCTGTGACCATTGTCTCTGATATAGAGAATGATGGAACATCCAAAAATGCTAAATTGTCACCAAAACAGGATCAAAGCAGACATCTTCTAATGGGGACACCTGCTCTGGTGAGAACTGTCTAAAGCACGGTTCTAGTTTATTCATTCAACTTGCGGGCTGAACAAACAAAAATAGAACAGATTCCTCCATCCACGCTGAACAGTATGGATGGATAGCTCCCCCGCTGTCTGCATTATAATCTAACAGCGGCCACCAGCTGCTGACCATAATGCCTGACTGGAGCTTGCCTGGCTTCCTTAATGGGACTTCCATTATCGGTATCGGTGTTCAGTATCGGCGTGTACTGGAAAAAGTATATCGGCACTCGATACCGGAAAACTGGTATCGGTGCATCCCTAGTATATATCCTACTTATCAGGGGATATCCCCTCGCTTTCAGGAGAACTTCTCTGACTTCCTCCTGTGTATCTAGGACAGGAAGTGAAGGGATATCTCCTCGCTGGGACACTAGCCTGACTGAGGTTTTTACCATTCTGTCCTCTATCCAAAATTGACAAAAGTTTGAGTTTTATGTGTATTTTAAACAGAATCTATCAGAATGACAACACGGGAGTGTCATTTGCTGGCATGTTTATGTCGGTGCAAGCTGTGTGGCTGTCATCCTGGTCCATGTTTCACTACTTGGCAACCTATTGACCTGGAACAAGCAAACAAGTAGGAAGTCAGTGAAGTATCTGTTCTTATTCTGGATGAGTAATTTACAACATAGTGAAGGATGGATAAACAACAGCCTGTAGCTCACCACTTCACTAGTGAGATAGGGCAGCTGCCTGACTCTTATACTGACAAGTTCCCTTTAAATGTCCTTGTTCTTGTCCCTGCTTGCTTCATACAGAGCTGTGGGTTGTGCCGACACTGTATAAATGTATGATAATAAAATCTGTCTCCTTTTCTTTATCCTTCCAGTAACCCGCCAGATTCATTCCATGTTCTAGATGGGATAAATTACAGCCATGTTCAGCTTTGAGGGAGACTTCAAAACCAGACCGAAGGTCTCACTGGGAGGAGCAAGCAGAAAGGTAAAGACAGTTGTCACTACACACTTTTCTTTTTCTTCCCTAAGGCTAACCACAAAGCGTGCAATCTAGAACAAGGCAACAGGTCTAAGGTTTGTTCGCACCATGTCTGGATCATGTCCAGACCAGAACAGTTTGTTCCCGGATCAAAAAATCATCCCAATGGTATTTCTGGGCTCTGTTCACACTGGCGCAGTCCGTTCTGGTCCAGACAAAAAAAAATACTGCTTGTACTCTGGTCTGGAATGCCTTGGAACGCATCAAGACCGTATGCAAACGCACAGGGCTGCACCCGAAAAGCCCACCTTGACCAAAAAAAAGTGTCAAAATCACGGCAAAATCCTGTCTAAACCTAATGCACCACGTTACTGTTCTGGTCTGGAAAATATAGCCGTGACCTGCGTTTTGCTGCACTGAATCAGAACCGGTCACCTCCAGGACATAAAAACAAACAAACAAACAATTGTTTTCTATGAGCCCAGTTCACACTACAATGTGTGGTGGGTGAAACGTTGCAGAAAAATGCAGCATGATGCAAAATTTCTCAGCGCACTGCACTGTTGTTCGCAGATCTGAATGGAGTGTCCACATTGTACACTACCAATAAAGTTGCAAGTAAATAATGTAAACCGCTCCAGCAGAGCGCGATACAACGCACAATGCACTAGCCTGCCTACTGAAATGCAGCATTTTAGCGGATGGGCTTTTGTGAATGCTGAATGCTTCTAATAGCAACAGGAGTGTGTTCAAGTGACAGTCATGTGATCGACCTGATCGGTTGATGAAAAGAGGTCTGGTAGATAATTATTTGTGCCAGCATTTGGTCTTTTGTCACGTGACCGCACAGGAAGAAGCTTTCAGCAGAGCTTTTTTGTTAAGGAAATGTAAGTATTTATGTAAGTATTTTATAGTAAATGTCCTTTAAAGCAATATCTTTATTAAAGTGACATTTTTTTAACATAAACCAATACTGTAATGTGTGCCTTACTGTAATCCATGGTAGTTTCTCTTCTCTTTGCTGCTCTTCCTTTTAAATCCTCATGTCTTCTCATGCTGGGCAGAACTTCCCTTTACAGCTGAGTGCCTCTTCCTGTAGTGCTGGCTCAGGTTGTGAACCTTCACACAGACACCATGTATCCATTCCTGAGACAAGGCAGTCTGCTGCAAAACAGAAGTTCTGCCCAGCATGAGAAGAGATACAGATTTAAAAGGAAGAGCAGCAAAGAGAAGGGAAACAACCATGGATTACAGTAAGGCGCACATTACAGTATTGTTTTATGTTAAAAAATCTGAGGGTTTAATGTCACTTTAACCCTTGCAGTGGGGCTACCCCTGCACTGCTATGGTTACCTTTGTTTTTGTTGTCTGGGTGCTAATAAAAAATAAAGGTTATACTCACCTGAACCGCGGAGCCGCTTGCTCTTAGACCGGTCCTTCCAGCCTCTCTCCTGCTACTCTGCAGCAGTCTAAGGTACTATAAATCATCACGTTCTATACAAGGTGTATAGACGTGAGGACGCTGTGGAACGGTGCAATGCTACAGCGTAGGAGGAGACAGGCTTTAGAGACTAGAGCGGCAGGTTAAGGACATTTAAACCCAAGAACACAATTGTATTATATTGCAGCCTGTCGTCCTTATTTGTAGTGGCTGCACAGGGGTGTGGAATTCGTATCGCCCGACGCCCGGGACATGTAGTTCCGGGCGCCGGGGCAAGTGGTTTTTGCACTGTTTTAGCCCTGCTACGGACAAGTAGCAGGGCTGGTTTTCTTTGAGCGCCGAGAGCGGCGCTGCGAGCGGGGGGCGGGGACTGAGAGCTGGGGACAGTCCCCCATCTGCATGCGAATAAACGCGCAGTGTTTTCAACTGCAATCGCGTGCAACCGCACGGGCAGGGCGGTATTGCAGCCGGAAAACGCGCAATCTGCCTGGCATGACTGGGGTGCCATTAGAAAATGATGGCACTGCCAGCACGATCGGCAGTGGTGTGTGATCCGGCACTGCCCGGTCATCGTGCACGAAACCGAGCGTATGACTGGGTGGTCACGGATTCGCACACCACCGCCGATCGTGCTGTCAGTACCATTATTTTCTAATGGCACCCCAGTCGTGTAAGGCAGATTGCGCGTTTTCCTGCTGCAATACCGCCCGGACGATCTCAAGCGATCACGGTTGAAAACACTGCGCGGTGCATGTCGTGAAAATAGGTACATCTACCTTTTTTCTCAGCGATTGCCACGCAGATATAACCCCATACATGCGGACGCAATCGCTGTATGCAACCGCACACGAATCCCCAAGTCTGCACCAACCCTAAAGGGTAAATTCTAGACATAAAAGACAAAAAATTTGTTTCGGACGAAATGAATGGAAACAAAAATGTTGCCATTAGTTTTGTCAAACTAAACAAATGTTTATGATATTTTGGATTTGGCCACCAGTGCATTCTGTGCATGAGCACCGCCATTCTGGAGGCGGGTTGCATGATGTCACATACCGCACACGTCTGTTGGGGGCACAATTTTCCATTCTTGCCTCGGGCGCAAAAGGAGCTAGCTACGGCTCTGCCTTGGGGCAAGTAGTTTTTTCCAAAATTTCCACACCCATGCCTGCATTAGTCTTCAGTTTTCAGGTTAAGAACATTTTTAGCAAGTGCAATGAATACCTGTTGATCTTGCAAGAAATGTAGTGACTTCCGGTCAGTGTCCTAGTCACTTCCTGTAAGCTAAGCCAAAAGTTCAACAATATACATTCTATAAACTACTAGAGCAAGCAGCATTTTTTGCGTTTGCAGTGGAACGGAACGCAGGCAAAGTTTTGCCACGTGTTCGATCGCACTTTGGGGGGTTGGGTGTGGAAGTGGTGCCATTGAATTCAATGCACCGCCACGCCCGCTCCCGTCCCAGAACGCAGGGGGAAGTTTTGTGAGGGATTGCGGTGCGTTCCAGCAGCTACTGCTCTGGAACGCACCGCATTCGGTGTGAACAAGCCCTGAAGGAAAAGTGGCCTGATACATTTTTGACATGTCAAAGTATTCAGTGCTGTACAGCATAAGGTAAGATCTACCTTTTACAATTAAAAAGCAGTCCTTGAGGTCCAACCTAGTTACTATGATGTCACGAGTTTGCTGCAGGCTGAAAGAAGAAGCATTCCCTCAGTCCGCTCTCCCCAAGCTATCAGACTGCAACATAATTACTTTGTAGCAATTCGCAAGGTGAGATCCTGCAGCAGGGGGCTGATCAGTGCCACACATTTGTGAACACAATCAAGAACTGTGCAGGATTTACATGATCGTGTCATCTCTGAGCCAGGATCTCAGTTCAGGAAGTGCTGTAGATAGTGACTGTGCCTGCACAAAGATGGCTCCATCCTTCTGGAGAGAGAAGCAGATGAAGACATTGCCAAGGGGTATACAGTGATCTCTGTGAGAGGTAATAAATAGCTGGAGGTGTTCTAGTGAGACTCGAGCATGCATGCACTTCAAGTGTATCTAATGCTTCTGAAAATAATATAATATATTGGCCTTTAGGAGAAGTTCTGGCATCTTTGCCATTCGTTATTCCTGGTACTGTATTCCCAGTGAAGGTATGTGAAGTGAAAGTGAAATGTGAGCACGGCTCTAATGACGTGCGTTTTCCAGCTACTGTTTATATGGAACTGTGTCCTGGTACTTTCCACCCAGTGACACTATTCCCTGGAAGCAGGCATTGTTCCAAATACAGGGCAGAGGTAGCACAAATATAGCCAGGAGCTTGTTATGATCAGTATGTGGTGATGATGAACAGGTGTCTGCCGACGTGAAGATATTTTCTGCCGGCTTATACAAACGAACGTTTTAACTCTTTGATGAATACGTTCTATATTGTGTGCAGATAATGGTTATATTGGGATTTGCTTGTAAGGATTTTCACGTAGGGGGGGAAACGTTTTTTGCAGACTTGTACATAAGGAGCCTTTAAAGGGTATCTTCAATTCTCTATAATCTAATTCCACACGTTTCAATGACATGGATCCCAGAGACAGATGCATCTTGGGATTTGTAGTTTTACGACACCTGGAGGGCCAGAGATTCCCCACTCCTGGTGTAAATGGATGATTTTTTTAATTTAAAAACTACACACTGCTCCAGAGGTTCAGGAAAGGGGGGCTGGAGAATGTGACCATGTTTTTCTGTTATATGTAAATATCGCTGTAACATTAAACATGATCCCAAAAATAAATAAAGCCTTTAAAGAAGAACTGCGAGCAGAATTCTTATAAATCCCTGCAATGGGGCTCTTTCCATACTGCAAGGGCTAACTGCTTGTGTTGAACTAGGGAGGTAAATAAGTTATACTCACCGTATCCTCAGAGCCGTCCGGCTGTGACTGCGCTCCCTGAAGCCAGATTCCTCCTCCAGCGCTGTAATGGAGGGCCGGTGCACACCTAGGCGATTTATTGCGCAAACCACAGATTTGCATTGAAGTCAATGGAGGCTGCTCACACCTTTGCTGTTTGTCGCGTGAAAAGGTGCAGGAGCTATTTTTCGGGTGGTTGTCGCGCGGTTTGGGTCCCATAGACATCTTTATGCATTAAAAAACGTGCGACAACCGTGCGGTTTACAATGAAAAGTCGCGCAATAGAAAACACGCGAGAACAGCTCGGCATCTGAATCGCCTAGGTGTGAACCTAGCCGGCATGTTCCTCTGTGTCCTTGCCTCCTATGCACTGTGTATAGTACATGATGACTCTGGGACCTTAGACTGATACGAGAAAGGCTCCAGGAACCAGTCTAAGAGCAAGCTGGCTCTGAAGATCAGGTGAGTATAACTTTTGTTATTTTCCTCCCTAGACCAAAGCGAGTAGTTAATCTTTGCAGTGTGGGGGCAGCCCCACTGCAAGGGTTAATAAAACGTTTGCCCAGAGCTCTTCTTTAAAACGATGTACATGGGGGCGGCCATGTTTGCTAGCTACATGGTGAAGTGTCAGTCATTTGACAAATTGCTTTTGCAGTAATAACGGGGAATGTGAAGTGTCTGAAATAACTCCTCTGTAAGTAAAAGAAATGTATTGCCCGGCGTCTGGAGTCTATTACAGTTCCCATAAAGCTGTATTTTCAGGAAGCCGGCGTGATTAACTAACAGAGGGAATGCGGGTGTATTTAGTGGTAATTATTTGATTCAATATTCCAGCACAATTCATACATTTTCTGGAGGCAGGAATCCATTTTCAGTTCTTTCCATCTCCTGCTCACATTAATGTCGCGGTGCACACTATCATTTACAGAGCAGACCTCTCCGGAGGAAGACAAAACATGCAATTAGGCCATGTGCTAGAAGCAGCCATTTCTCTGGCTGATGTAAGCTCTTGTTGGCGCCTTCTTCTCACTTTTTAACATATTCCACTTCTATCATATCGGGATGAAACCTCATGAATCCCTTACATTGAGAGCTCACTGGAGGATTTCTGTTAGTCCGGGTTCATAGCATTGTCCCTGTAACTTTGTCTTTTGTAGAAATTATAGAGGAATTCCAGGAAAGAAGTGTGATCATTCAGTGTAGTGGTAATGCCATCCTTGGGGGCAATACCAATGTGCTACAGTCTGCCCACTCAGTCTTCTAATTATTATTATTATACAGCACGGTACAAAATGCGGGAGACAATACAGTTACAATACAGTACAACAGTGTTAGGGGGGCCCTGCTCAGGAGAGCTTACAATCTAGCATGCTGAACTACAGATAAAACCCCATTCACACTGAACTACAAGCTTTTTCAGCGTTGATTTGAGCTGAGCGACATTGAGGCTAGGCTCACACCTGAGCTACACCGCACAACACCTGGGACGCACAATGCAGGCAGCGATTGCCGTGCGGCCCCATTGATTTCATTGGGGTGACATCCGCACGGCAAAGTACCTTTTTCTGCCATTGCCGCGCAGATGTTACCCCATGGAAATCAATGGGGCCGTGCGGCAATCGCTGCCAGCATTGTGCAGGATCCCATGTCCCGGGACACACATACCAGGTGTTGTGCGGTGTAGTGCAGGTGTGAACCTAGCCTTAAACATTTAAAGTAGTGGCAAACTTTTTTTCAATAATGAATTCAGATCAAAAATAATATACATCATCCACAAAGTATTTCTTTACATTTTTGCCCGAGCACTTAAAAGCCTCATGTTTCCAAACAGCTGCAACTCTCTCAGCTCAGCTTCCCTGAACTTCCTGTCCAGTACAAGATCACAAGGGACAGAGCAGTCTCCAGCAGCCACCTATCTACTAGCATGGAGAAGGGAGGAGCAAGGAACAGGGGAGTGCCTTGCTGTGCCTGTGTGTTTACAGAGACACGCACAGCTTACTAGCACACACAAGGGTGGCTTAATAGGATCCTGCAAAAGATAGGAGCCGCACTAAATCAGGACCAGTGTTCAGGGGACCAGCTGATTCTGCAGGAAACTTTTAAACACGAAGGAGCAGCATCCATTGTAAGTGATTTAATGTCAATGGCTTAAAAACATTTTGACTTTAATATCACTTTAAATACTTCTATGTAAACCGCTTTACAAGCCAAAGGACTTATAATTATGTTCAGCTAGTCTTCCAAACCTGGCCCACTGCCAGATATCATGGTATGACCGTTGACCTCACTTTTTTTTCTACTACAGTTTGTATGTAGAGGCAAAACTTTTTTGTTTTTAGTTTTCAAAGGAGAAAGGAAGAGTTCAAACATCTGCAATTGTTTGTTTGTTGTTTGTGTCCTGTTGGGGACATTTCCCTCCCTTCCTGTCCTGAGGCTAGGTTCACACGTCAGCGATCCCAGGGAAAAAGCGTCCCGGGACTGAGCGATCATGTGCGGGTGCACACAGCAGTTGCCACGCAGGCCCCATTGATTGCAATGGGGTTACATCTGCGTGGCAATCGCTAAAAAAAGGTACATGTATTTTTTTGCCGCAATCGTGTTCTATGGTATCATGGCAGGAAACTGCACGATCTGCCCGGCGCGACGGGTGCCATTAGAAAATAATGGCACCTCCAGCGCGATCGGCGGTGGTGGGTAATTCCGTGACCGCACTGCCATCCACGTGGTTTTGTGCATGATTGCCGTGCGGTCACATATCACCAGTGTGAACCTATCCTCAATATTACAGCATTCAGCAAGAAGGTCTGAAACATGAATCTGCTGAACCAATGAGAAAATGAATCTGTATAACTGTTGCAATGAAAATAGATAGTTAGGAATCATGTAGACCATTTATTAAACGCTGACATCATTGTCTTTCAGGAAGAGAAAGCATCCCTTCTACATCGTACCCAGGAAGAACGGCGAAAGAGGGAGGTAGGTCAAAGATAGTAAATATAGAAAATGAACTGCGCCAATAAGCAAGCTAACGGCTACAAGGCACTGAAATGTACACCCACTGTGAGTGTGTATATGTGAAAAATGAATAACTAGATGTGCCGAGCTACAACAATGATCAGATTAGGTCAAAGATAGTTCCAAGTGAAAGTAAATAATGAGTTTCCGTTATCCACACTCGTGTGTGGATCGGTCTGAAGTGTGTTGTTTGAGTAGTAATCACCATTGTGCCACCCTGAAGCTGCCATTTTTAAGCTGAAGTTCACTACTTTGTTTCTTTATATTTAGGATCAGTTAGTGTCTGCCTTCTTTTTTTCTTTTAAAGATCAGATCATAAATACATTTGGCCAAACTTGTAAGATCTGAATGCTTGGCGACTTAGAGGAATTTTATTTATTAATTTTTTTCTTTCCAGGAGAACTGTGGCCTAATCATTTTTGGCCATAATTCTCTTTGGGGTCACAGGAGGACGTATACTAATGTCTCCGGTGACCCAAAACTCAGTATATAGCGGCCTTGAATTATGGGGATGAGTTTTTTCACTCACCCCATAATTCTCCTTTAAACCTTATTTTGTTAATGTTTTCTATGTATAGTCTGTAAATCCCATTTATTCTCTTTCCCCTTTTCTCTTTCCCCTTTTCTCTTTCCCCTTTTCTCTTTCTCCCCCTGTTCATACACAGACCCAGTGTGAACGGACCCATAGGGGTGATGGGTAAAGTGGGGGAAATAAGATGTTTTCCATGGAATTATTGTTTCCCATCTTTTAGACAATTTTGCATAAAAATTTGTCTTTACGTTCTGTGGAACTGATACTGTATGTGATACATTTCCATTACACTTCCAACTTCTCCAAATAGATGCTCTGCCTGTAAAACTTGCCCACTTCGCAGGAGAGATGCCTCTGACAGCTTTGGCAGAGTTGTGATACATTCCTATACACATTACCGACACGCACGTGCATCTGTCGCAAGTTCCGCCATTTGTCACACTACCGCAAGACCGATTTCTAGAGTATCTGCAACACGCTTTATGAATTCCAGGGATTGTGTCATATTATTTGTACTTTGTTGTTTTATAGGAAGAGAGGAGAAGGTTAAAGAATGCAATAATCATCCAATCCTTCATAAGAGGCTACAGGGACAGAAAACAGCAAGTATGTCTTATACCGTGTCATGTTGTTTCAGTTATCAATGCCTGTAATGTGATACAAAATGTGATGAACCACAAGGCAACTAGACTGTCTTAAAGGGTGTTTAAACCCCCGCGTGTTTTTGCATATATCTACTGCTAGCAAGCCGTAGATATATGCAAAATGCTTTACATCGATTTTCCTGGGCGCTGTATGGCGTTCTGCCGAGTGTCTTCCCCTCTGCTGTGAAGACATAGAGGGTCCTTCAATCACCATTCAGTGAATGCCTAGTATTTTCATTGGACGAGGGGAAGTGACATCATGATCTGCTCCTTGTCCAATCAGATAATGCCTAGTATTCAATGATCAAAATACATGGCACTTGCTGAATAGCTGCTATGCTGAGCTAACGACCCTCTGTGTTTTCTTAGCAGTCGGGAAGTTGCTTAGCCTAGCGCAGCACAGGACCCGAAAGATCGATGTAAAGCTCTATAGTAGCTTGGGTTACTACAGTGTTTTGCAGGATCCCCATGGGCCGGCCAGGTATAAAATATGTATACTTGTACTGTAATCCCTATCACAGTAAGATTGTGTAGGGCTTATACAACCAGATTGTATAGTGTAAGGCCAGCTTTATATAGGGAGGTTTTAGTTTTCTGAAGGAAACCTGTAGTACAGAAGTGATGTTTATTCTGTGCACAGGTTTCCTTTTACGTTTCTGTTTATCCTTCTTCTGAAATCGAAGGTACAGTCAGAGTAAAAGTGAAAGTAGACGTGATCTGTAGTGTACGGATATTCTGTCAGTGCAGCTAGTAAAAATCATATCATCTGCTCCATAATGTCAAATTAAACTTCAGCCAAAACTTTTTTTGTAGAATAGAAAGGAATTAGAACTTGTCAGGCTTTTATTGTCTCTTTGTTCACTGGCTAGATTTCTTCTTGCCTCCTGTCCTAGCAGTGGTCATGAGGACAGGAAGTGAGGGGAAATATCTCTAAGGGAGCATCGGGCTTGGATGAATAGATACCCTGCTCTACAAACCTTGGCCGCAGTTTATGAAGCCTTTCTTGGCCACATGCTTTTTTATCGCATTGTCTTAAATTGCTCTCTTTTCTTTCCCCCCTGTAAAGTACTCTATCCAAAGAAGTGAGTTTGATTACTGCGTTAATTTGGCATCTTCCAGTGGAAGCTCTGTAGATGGACACACCTTGACCCTGCTAGTGCGGAAACTGCTCTTCTTCTACAGACAGAATCAGGATTCAAAGCGTTTGGTAAGAGTCATTGTTTATTGCTTGCATTCTAAGGAAAATCCGTTGGTGGAAAATAGTTAGTAGACTAATATTGCTTAATAATAATAATAGACAAAGTTTGCCTTGCTTCCCTGGCACCTCCTGAACTTTAGCACATGATGTGTGCAAATATCAACCTTTAGCTCAAGTAGTAGTTGTGGCATGTTCCCACATTCCAAAAGATCTCCCTTTGTAGAGGCCACTGAGCTATGTGCTTTGAATTAGGGGATGTAAGGGCATGCCTGTGACTAAAGCTGGCCATGCATTATATTTTCTTCATTCAACCTGCGGGCTGAACAAATACAATGTAACAGATTCCTCCATCAACGCTTATGAGCATTGATTAAGGAATCTCCCGCTGTCTTCATTGTATTCTGACAGCGTCCGAGGGCATAATACCCGTACAAAGCCGACAGCTCATTGGCTCTCCGCTCTGTTTTGTTTGTAGATTTTCCGACCGGCTCATTCAGTTAGCTGATTGAGGAATGCCAGCAGAATGGGTGCTGACAGCCCCTGTGCGAATTTCGACAGGTTTGTCAAGATTTGCAGTGTATTGCCACCTTAAGGCTGAACGTACGCTGTTAGATTTTTCTCATTCAGCCCAGTGGGCTGAATTTGAGAAACCATTGGGTTCCCCCATCCACGCTAAACAGCAAGGATAGAGTAGGGATGCACCGATACCATTTTTTCAAGACCAAGTTCTGTTTCTCAAGAACTTGCCGATACCAATTACCGATACTTTTTGTTAAAGTGACATGTGACATTTTTCTAAAACAATACAGACTATTTTAGGACAGTGCTTGAGCACCATGGACCAGTCACAGCTGCATCCCTGGTAGTTCTGCCACTGACTTGTAGAGGGACTACAAATCCAAGCAATACATTATGCAGCACTGCAGAATACCACCAGCTATAGAGGACTACAAATCCTAACAATACATTATACAGTAATGCAGAAAGGCATCTGCTATAGAGGACTACAAATCTCAGCAATCCCATTATACAGCAAAGCAGAATACCATCAACTATAGAGGACTACAAATCCCAGCAATACAGGGCTGTATGCTGTCTCCGCAGGGCTGCATTCGGGTGCCACCAGGGCTGCATGTGGGTGCCACCAGGGCTGCATGTGGGTATCTCATGTACTGTAGATGAGATTTTCATGGTAAGCAGACGCACAGTTAAGAAGTGGTCAGGATCCAGTTTTTTTCTGTCACAATGCAACTTTAGTGAAGCTGAGGGAGGAATTTATGTAGTTGTAACCTTTTCAGTACGCTTGTTGCAAAATCTGTCTCACTGCTCCTCTTGGCTTCTGGGCAACAGAATTGCTATCAATGTGTGCTATTGAGTTTTTCTTTGATATAGTGAAAAGCCTCCAAGTATTAATATGTGTGTATTTTCTGTATAGATATGGATTTGTCAGAACTTGATAAAACACAACTCTCAGTTTGTAAAACATCTGATTGGACCAGACAGACTCACTTGCCTTTATCAAATCAAACGACTGCTGGGATTATGTTGCAGGTAAGTGCTTCACGATCATATATTCTTTCTGCAGGTCTGTAAACAGTGACCACAGTGTCTGACTTGTTGAAGTGTTAAATAAAAAGTAAGCACTCATTGATGTGTAGTTTTTTTTCCATTGCAGCCTTAAAATATACCGGTTCTCAGACACTAAAAAATGTATTCAAGTACCCCCTAACTAATACCAAAAATGTATCTTATTTGTGTATTACTTGGCTGGAGATCCTCAAATCATTTCTGAATTGGTACTGACACTGTCCTTCCTTCTGGATGGTGGCTACTTTTCCCTGTGTGTGTTGAAGTAGTCACCGCTCCAAGCTCGCTCCTGTGCTGGACTACAATCTCATATTTAGTTTACTAATTTGTATTGAGATTGTAGTCCATCACAGGAGTGAGCTTGGAGAGGTGACTACTTTAAAACACACACAGGGGAACAAAATTAGCCCCCCTCCAGAAGGAAGGACAGTGTTCACACCAATTCACAGATTTGAGGATCTACAGCTGAGTGATACACAAAAAAGATACATTTTTGTTAATGGTGAAGGTACTTGAATGTATTTTTAAGATTTAACTCCTGAGTTTAGTGTCACTTTAATGTATAAAACTAGGGATGCCTAGATACTAAGTACTATAGTTTGTACAAGTTCTGATACCTTTCCAGCTGCAAGACTAGACTAGAGAAAAACTCAAAAGTTAGGTGGCAGCTGTCATCTTTAAGGAGCATTGGCTACGGGGCTCCTGGGATTTGTGCATCCCTGTTTTAAAGTATGACTTGTGTATATATACGCATAAGTACGTACGTACCTATGTGTAGCCGTCAATTTACGCTGTGGTTAGGTTCCTGAAGGATTGGTTGTAAGTCAATGGGAAGTTATGTTCCAGACCTTTAAATTGACATAAGTAATCAAATACAGGTACATTATATTGAAAGCTGCTGCATGAGCTCACACAAGGAGCTTTACATTTTTTTTACCTGTATTATGTTACTTATGTCAATTTTGAGAGAGGCTTTGAACCTAACTTCCTCACTTTCCACTGACATTATTTAATGGCTTTCAGGTTACATAGTTTCTATTTAGAACCATTCCTTATTTTGATAGAGGCCTGGAACCTAACTCCTTCACTTCCCATTGACATACATTATATATTTGGTTTTAATTTACAACAATCCCAAAAAAAGGTTGCTATTTTGAATCCGAGCAAATTGAACCGATGTAAACCATGGGCCCCCTGTATATATTATATATGGAGGAATGCCAGGGCCCAGTCACAGCGGCAAGCCTGGTAATTCTCGTCAAAATGCCAAGTATCGGCACTGGTATCTGTGCATCCCTATATGAAACATTTCTTTTACTATTCCTGCTGAATCGGCTGGAATTCTTTCTGTTTGTGACCCTGTTCCCTCAACAGAAGGCAATCATTAGATCCACTTTTGCTGCAGGAATGTGTTGGAAATTCCTTGGCCACTGTCAGAATATAAAGCTCACAGCGGGAGACTCGCCCATTCACGCTGTTTAGCGTGGTTAGAGGAATCTGTTATATTTTTTTCGTTCAGCTAGCAGGTTTACCGAAGAAAATATAACAGTATATACCAGCTTTAGCCTCCCTGTTCTCTTTTTTTTTTTTGTAAATTCTTTATTTATGTATTCCACCAATTTTCCATGTTTTCATGAGAAAAGGAACAAAAGAAACAAACCATATGAGGCCACACCATCATTTACACAAATATAAAACATCTTCGTTGCAATCATGGTGCAGCCATAGCGCCCTAATGGTGGTTACAACTGGTCTCATCTCTCCTGTACACTAGAAGTCACACTACACCTTAGCTCCGACCCATATCGTCACGTGCCAGGGTCTTACCCCATAAGGCCCACTCTTCCAATAATTGTTAGGAGCAAGCAATATTAATTAGATCCACCAGTAAGGGCTATCACAGAATAACTGGTGTATATGAACCTATATAACCTCAAACAACATAACTGAGAGCAAAAGAAAATGAAGTGAAAATAGACAGAGGGGGAACAGTAGCGGGGAGAGGCGAAGGTAGAATAAAAAGCTATTATAAAATGGGAATCTCTGTCTTCAGACTAAAGGAACCATATCCATTTTGGGGCAATGACGCAAGTAGGTATCTTTTATATGGGATTTGATTGTTGTGTTTATGTAGGCATTCTTACATTGAACAAACACAGCAATTTAGATTCTGTTATTTAGCAGCACATTCAATTTAAATCATTGTTTCTATAAAACAAGAAACTTGTCAAGGACCTATGGTAGAGTATGTATGCCAGGCACCGGGAGCTTGCTTGCAGAAGGGAAAAGCAGAGGAATTACCTAATCAAGTATGGTGATGCTTCTTTGTTATTCATGCAGCAGGCTAGGGGATGTGAGGTGACTTGCCTGTATTCCTTTAAGTGTATTTAAACCGGAACAATGAATGTCTCTTATTTGCTCCCTTTCGGTCTGTTAAATCTACTATAGGAAGCGTGCTGTTATATCTGTTAAGTGCAAAAAAAGAAATTCAGGGCTGCCCTGTGCACACCTCTTGTTATATCAAGGAGCCTTATTAGCCCTCCTAGTTCTTATCTTGGTACTACAGATCATGTAGTAGTTGAAGAAGAAAGTGTTTGATTCCATTGTTTAGCAAAAGAGCTCTGGGCAGGATTGACACAGCTGAGTCCACAAAAATGCTGCATGTTGTCAGCCCAGAAAAGGACTTGGGAGCTGGGTGCATTTCTGGCAGATCATCAGGTATTTCCCTGTACTTTAAAAATGAACTGCAGGATAAGCAAATATTATCTGAATTGATGAGGCATGTGTATTCTTGGTGAGGTTTGTGTATTTTTCCTCTGTGCAAGGAGCTTCCTGTAATCAAGACCAGTCAATGCTGCTTCTCTCTTTCTGCAGAGTGGCTGGTCTTGTATCTGCCTTTCTGTAGGTTTGTGCAGGCAGCCTGGAGTGTTATCAAAGACATGTGGTGCACACAAAATGGAATTATATCCTGTTGTGGCTATTGAGGTATATATATTTACATGAAAGTTTATGTGCCCCAAGTTCAGCTTTAAAATAATAAAACATGGAGAGATGGAGAAACATTAATTGGAGAGATGTTTTTCTATATGCTTTTTTTTGCCCTGGCATTCTTAAACTGTAATAGAGAAAAACATTGCCACCTACCTGGCTATATAGTATGAGAGGTGTGTGTGAATCACAAAAGTGGCTGGATCGAATCACACATATGCAGGATATAAAACTTATGTGTGTTTAAAGGATATAAAGGAGACAGGTGGGCTGCTCGCAGTTTGTAAACTGACTGTAGGACACAGCAGGCAGATTTATTTGTTTCGTTCTAAGGGCACCAAATCCCAAATGGAAATTGCCGCCAGAGTTTGCATGGGCACGTTTGGCTGCCTCCTTTTATTCCCTATGGTCATCAAGTATGATGGGTGGCCTTATAGACCAGCAGGGAGGTACGGGAATCCCTACACAGAGTCACCATGCGAGCTATAATCTCAGATTAAATAATAGAGCTTCTTTGGGGTTTGGGGATCCTGGGGGGAAATAAAGACCATCTGTGGGAAGGGACGTACTAGCTTACAGGTACACATTTATGTATAATTTATGAACCAGACAGCCCAGTCCCATAGCGGCTGTTTTTAGGAGGCATATGCGTCCATTGGAAACCGCTAAAAAAACGCGCAGACTGTGATGTTTTAGTTTCATTAACTAGATGTATTCATCTATTTTATTTTTGTATTGTAGGCTAATGCAGTATTGTGAGGATGACGGCCTCAATGTTGCACTACCTATGAGAATGGTGGAAGTCTTTTCAGCAGAAAACACATATTTGCCTGTCCTAGGAGATACAACAACTGTAGCTTCATTAGTTGAACAAATTTTGCACTACATGATTCAGAAAGGTGAGTATTTGTACACAATATACACACAATATACTGTATATAACCAGAGCAACTGCAACTTCTCACCATATTTGTTTTTTCCTTATAGGATACTATAGGTCGCAGTACTTATTAATTAACAGCAAGCTTCCATCTAGCATCGAATACACAGATGTCTCCAGAGTTCCTATCGCAAAGATTCTTTTAGAAAACATTTTGAAACCACTGCACTTTACTTACAGCTCCTGTTCTGATGGTGCAAGGTAAATAGTTATGAAGATTGTTAGATATGGAAGTTTGACATCTGGAATAAATATTGTGCGCTTCTACAAAAAGTTCAGATTTTTTTTTTTGGGTGCTTATGTTGTGTTTGCTAGGTGGTAACTTTTAAAAGGACTGCGTAGCAGCTAGTACGATCATGTGACTAAGCTGTCTGATAAAGGACGATTAAAGCAGTACTAAAGTCTAATTGTTTTTTACCTTAATGCATTCTCTGCATCAAGGTAAATAGCACCCTGCTAACTTTCCATGCCCTCTCCCTACCCAAAACACTTACCTAGGGTCCACATCACTGCTGCCAGCACCTGGATGATCTGCTATGTCCCTGAAGTCCCGGGTTGAGGGGAAGGATCCTGAGGCCACTGAAGGCAGGGCAGTAATAGGCTGCTGCACCTGCCTGTCAAATTATTGTAAGGAGGCGGGCACAGTGGGAGTGGCTTACGGAACACGGTGTGTGTCATTGGACGCGCACAGCTCGGCTCAGCGAGCATGCACGAGTGTCTCCTTTGCAACCTGCTAGGCAAAGGAGATATGAAAGCTGCAGAAAATAAATTAAATGGTGCAATTTAAAAAAAAAGAAAAAAAAAAAGCTTATTAAATAAATTGGCATAAACAGTACTGATTTCAAATTTTAAAAAAACCCAAGGGTTTAATGTCACTTTAACTGACCCAGTGAGGCCCGTAAGAAAAGTACTTCTTTCAGCACAGCTGAGAGTCATACAGTGACTGATGTGTGAACAGAAGACGACCTCTTGACTAAGCAGAAGACTACAGATTATTCATATGCAATATTTTTAATACTAATACTTTAATACTTATATACATAGGGCTTGAAAAATTTGATGGTGTTTTACCAGTCAGTCAAAAATTTCACCAGTCAGCATGACCGGACTATAGCCTTGCAATTTATGTTAACATTTTGTGGGGACTGGTAGAGTTTTCTTTTGGAGGTATATAATCACCACGGGGGGTTATTTTTTTTTAAACTATATAATGAAACAAGTACCATAAATGTTAAAAAAAAAAACAGTTTTCCTACGTTATGTTATAAAACATTTATTATTACCCATATTTTTAGTAAAACATAAAAGTCGGGGTCACGTCGGGTAAATGGACACCAAACATGTCAAGCCTTAAAATTGTGTGCGCTCGCAAAATCACAAAAAACGCCCATAGGCGACGATTAAAACGCTTTTACTGTTCCTCAGTTTAGTGTTATCAGTGATTAATGGCTCTAAAATTATTGCTCTCACTCCAGCGTTATGTAACATGTGCAGCACAATAATCGTCGTTTTCGCACCCGATGCATATCTGCGTGTGTATGTGGGGAGCGGGGGCATTTTTTTTATGCTTTAATTTTTGTATTACTTTTTTTTTTTTACACACAACTTTATTGCAATTGCATGGGGGGCTAAGAAGCCCCCTATGTGATAGCCAATTTACATGACTGGTCCTCTTTATGGAGACATCAGGGGTCTCCAAGACCCCTAATGTCACCTAGGGACCCCCAGAGAAGCTGATGAAGCAGAGATCTGCTTCATCAGCTTCTGTAGCTGGAAAGTGACACTGTATGCAGGAAGTGATGTAACACAGGCCTTCTTAAACTTTCTCCACTCGTGACCCCTTTTTGGCCGAGGAAATTTTTAAGGGACCCCAACATCGGTCGGTGTCTCCCCACTCCCCTAGCGTAAGTCGGTGTCTCTCTCCTCTTCTCCCCCCCAGCACCAGTCAGTGTCTCTCTCCTCTTCTCTCCCTTCCCCAGCACCAGTCAGTGTCTCTCTCCTCTTCTCTCCCTTCCCCAGCACCAGTCAGTGTCTCTCTCCCTCCCCCCCAACGTCTGTCAGCGTCTCTCTCCAGCGTTGGTCAGTGTGTGTCTCTCTCCCCTCAGCGTCCCTCTCTCCTCCCAGATACCCCCCCCCTCCGTGTCGGTCAGTCAGTACTACTAAGCCCCCTCCCCACCTTTACGTCCAGCAGCTGTGCTCCACTGCTGGAAAAGGCAAATATTCGGCTGTGCTCCACTGCTGCTGGGTTAAAGAAAGTTCAGTCAATGTAAAACAAAAAAACCTTCCTGTGCACACGTGCTCAGGAAGGTACCAAGTGCACAGGGGGGGGCCGCGACACCCCCTGTGCAAACTACACTGCAAATTATACATTAAACTGAAATAAAACAATCTAGATTGGAGCCCAGACCTCCTCAGCCGCCTGGGCCCCTCACACAAGTACCGGCCATACCCCCCTGATGGCGGTCCTGGCCGGGTACTCGGATCGCGACCCCCCTGTTCACTTGCGGGACCCCATATGGGGTCGCGACCCACACGTTAAGAAGCACTGATGTAACATACATCACTTCCTGCATTCGAGGACTGAGAGGAGATCAAAGGGAGTTCGTATACTGAACTCCCTTTAATCTCCTGTCACAGAGCCGTGCCGGTCCCGGCCGCATCGGGTACAGCGGTTCTCGGGACAGTGCAGTGACAGCTCTCTAGACGCCCGATCACTTGAATGTATAGCTCCCGGCCTGCCGGGAAGCTGCTCGTCGGGCTCCACCGTCCTCTCGTCACAGACGAGCGGACGAGTGGATTTTTCAAGCCCTGTGTGTGTGTGTGTGTGTATGTATGTATGTATGTATGTATGTATGTATGTATGTATGTGAGAAAGAGATATATATATCTATATCTATATCTATATCTATATCTATATCTATATCTATATCGATATATATCTATAGATATCTCTCTCTCTCTCTCTCTCTCTCTCTCTCTCT